TCTTATAGCTTCATCCTAAATTATTTCACCTATTGTCGCATGTAAGTTTGGATCCTAATTAGATATTTCAACTTCTTCATGTTAAGCATCATGTTGTATTTTCGTTTAAGACATATTGAAGTAGAGATTCTAATGCATTATGATGCATCAAACGATTTCTATTTCTAGCGAAAAGGACATACCTGTGCGATGAGAAAACCCTGCTCGCAACTATAGATGAAGTTGAATTGGAGAGGACAATGCCTAGTGGAGGAAGGATCCCAGCAATTAGAGAGGAAGACGAGTTGGAGAGTATGAGGTGGCGAACAAGAGTAATGCTTCCCTTCATTGTAACAGACAAGGGCATTTGCACAGCACCACGACACGAGCGTTGCGGGAGAGAATTCTCGCAAGCATAAATCCCATTAAATCTGCCAAATTGAGGGATTTACTAAATCCCCGACTTACGCCGTAAATCTGTAAATCGGGGACTTATCGAGGAACGAGATTTACGGAGCACTCGAAAACTGTTTGGTGGGATTTACCATAAATCCGACGTAAATTCGATAACAAACAACCCCTAAGAGCTTTGAGAATTGCATCTTTTTTATACATGCATGCTAGGATTTGATGACAATGGGGGCAACAATGTTTACGAGGCAGGAATGCACAAAAATTATTTTCTTCTTTGTTTTCTTTTCTTACTATTTTTTCTTCTCTATTTGGAGAGAGAAAGAGAAATGGAGAGAAAGAGAAATAGATAAAGAGATAAAGAAAAAGAGGAAGAGATAAAGAGAGAAAAAATAATGAGAGAGAGAAAGGTGAAAGAGAGTGAAAAGAAATAGAGAAAGAAACTTATAAGAAGAGAATGAGAAATAGAGTGAGAGAAGAAGAGGAAGAGAGAAAAAAAGTGAGAGGTTAAATGTTGAGGGAAGAAGAGAGAAAGAGAGAGGCACAATGAGGAGGCAACAATAGCAGGGACAAGAAGGCAGCGATGGTGGGGTAGAATAGGTGGTGACGATAGGTTTGAGCTGTCACGACCCAGCCCGGTTAGCTCATATAGACGATGCGGGAATGGAATCAGACGTTCAGAACAGTTCAATCATCATATTGCATGAATGAAAATTTTAAGAGACTTCAATAGGAATTAAAAGCGCCTCTAATATTTTTTTCCAAAACATACATTTAACATTTCAAGCTATTACAAAAGAGAGTTCATATATACAATATGGTTTCAAAACTAAACTATTCATGTCATGCCAAAACCACCCAAAATAAAATCAACTATAACTAGGAAAAAATTAAAAAAAACTGTCAACCGGTACACAACGACTGTATGTGAACTTTGAGTTGTCAGCCATCTCTTGTAGCAGGTTCTCCTAAAAAGTATCCCAACACGAGGGAGTGAGCTAACGCTCAATAGGAACTCTCTAATCCTAACATGTTCACATGCCTTTAAAATGAAAATTTATAATTTAAGCTAAAGGGGAAAGGCCTTAATTTCTTTTCCTACACATGTTAACCTTCATGTCTTAAGAATGTTAAATATTTTATGTATGTCATATCCATGTCAGGTAATAAATGTCATATTATAAGCTTATTTATACTTTATCATATACAACCGTACCGGAGTACCAGGGGTGTACTGATCAGGTACACAAACATCTTTTTGCCATTTATTTCTTTTCCTCTTTACTCTAAAGGGCCATTTTGTTTTCATTTTGCTCATAAAAGTCATATTTGTGCTTTCGCATCATATTTGGTACACCGCAAATATCATGGACAAGCATTTTCATATTCTTTCCATATAAATTCATATGTCTCAAACATACAGTAAATGTTTGACATGTATCTTGAACATGAAGTAAACATGAAGTAACATGTATCAATTATATAAGAATATAAAACATAAAAGATTCATAAAAGCATAATGAAATGTCATGTGGTCATGTAAAGAAAAGGATCCTACCTCAAAAGTACTATGCAAGCATCCACTTCATCTCTCTATTTGTACCTCTTCTTACCAAAACCTAAAGAAAGCAATACAATATAAATTTCTTGCCAAAATAAATATTTATATTACACTAATCCCCTCTTAAGCTCACTAGCTCACACTCATTTACCCAAATCCTAAGACTTTTAATCACCCACATAAACATCTTTATTAAAATAGAGTATGCACCCATTTAAGGCAAAATATAAGGAGCATAACTTATAGTTTGATGCAATATCACACAATCCCTTTAATGAATTTTTGGTTTTGCTTTAAACTCAATTTTTGGAACCCTAAGATTACACTAATTTCATTCCAATTGCTTAAAAAAACACTCCCCTTTCATATATATATATATATATATATATATACATACATACATACATACATACATATATAAGGCATTAAAATTTCGGAATAAATCATAAAAATAATTTGAAAATTTATTTTTTTCTCAAAATTTTAATTTCCCTTAATTAGAGACTTCCCAAAACCCTTAGGAACAACTTTTGTGAATATGCAAGCTCAAAAACCCTAGTTTAGGAAAAGCCCTAATTTTTAAAATCCAAATTCTTTAAGAAAAATTGCATTTTCCTCTAAAAAAATCTCTTCCCTTAAGTTCTTCCAACATTCCCTACAAAAATAATCCAAAAAAGAGGAACCCTAATTTCGGAACCTATGATTTTCCTTAAAGAAATCTTCAAGTTTAAGGCATAAAAAGGTAGGTATAATCAAGCCCTAAAGTTTTTCTAAAGAAATCTTCAATAAAATATAAACCCTAAATTCTTGCTTCAAGAGAAACTCATAAAAAAACAAGGTTCTTTAAGATTAACTTACCTCCAAGCTTCTCCAAGTCTTCCTCTATCTTTTTCCTAAAGGATCTTGTAGGAATCTTGCCGGCCACCGCCCGCCGAGCCCAAGCCGTCGCCTCTTCTCCCTCTCTCGCGTGCTTTCCCTTGCTCGGCCGAAAGAAACCAACAAGGGACCGACTAAATCGGTCCCTAGGAGGATTGTGGGCTTAAGGAATTGTTCTTAAGTGGCTTATTACGCATGTACCCTCCCATTCAATATTTCTCTCAAAGCTCATGAGGGGTAGTTTGGGCACAATCTATAAATTTTACTTAAACGAACTTCGGCGATTTTTAATTTCAAATCCATGCGAAATTGGTTATAAGTTCTTTATATCGTTTCGATCGAAATTTCGTGAAGAATTTAATAAAATTTATTTCGTCGAATTCCGACGACATTGAAATTTCACCTAAGTTTGCCGCGACACAACGAAATGCGTGCGATGCACTCAAACGACGAATTTCGGGTTTTACATGAGCTGAGGAAGATGAGTGTGAGAGAGGGAGAGAGCTTGGGCGTGGGTGCGAACAGAGAATGAACTCGAGAGGGTTACTGAGAGGGAGAGTGCTTGAGCTAGGGAGGGCAAGCATATGGTAGATTTAGGATTTTTTTTTCCTGTATAGCCACTAGGGTATGACATGGTGAGGCATGGGCTCAAGATGGGAGAGGAGAGAAGGAAACTTTGACCTTTTTTAATTTAATAATAATAAGGAAGAATATATATTTTCCTCAAAAAAATTTATCGCTCATATAAATCGAAGTCCGGTCATCATCTTGTGCTAGGAGGAATTTTTCCATTTCATCACACAAAGACATCAGTAATGTAGATGTCTATTTAAGTTATTCATACTATCCTGAAAGCATCAGCACAATCCGTTTCTTGAATGAACGTTGTTTGAGTGATTTCAACTCATGCAACCATTGCAAAGTTATTTACTATTTTAAGAAAAAAAAATCAGTATCAAAGGGAACTAGAAGGGTTGTACAAAGAAAAATTAAGCTGCACTTAAAAAGGTGATATTTTAGTTGAAATTCATATAATAGAAAGTTTAGAGACCAATTCGTTGTCAACTATTGATGCAAGCAAAAAAATTAGGAAAACCCCTAATTTTTGCAAGCAAAAGTTACTCTTCCTAGGATAATAAAAATACACCAAAATACAACTTTTATAAGATAAAAGACTCTTACAAACTTTGACACAAACACAAACATAAACATACACCTAAACTTGCATTCTTTGATTGATTGAGAAGAAAGATGCAATTGGAGTGGTCACTTGCGCATAGAAGAAGGCAAGAAGTCGAGACGAAAGGGAGGAGAAGCTCGCAAGCTTTCCTAGAAGAAGAGGAAGAGGTGGTACAAGCTTGCAAGCTTTTCCACGAAGAAACCCGCAGGTTTAGGCTCCAAAAATCACATAATAACATTTTTTTATGCCTCAAGACACCTTATATTCATAGGGGAAATGGGGCAGCCAAACAGCCCAAAATTCCCTCATTTAAACCCATTAAATTCAAGTAAATGGGAGGCCAAAAGTTAGCCCAAAACAGCCAACAAAAACTGGAGGAACTCCTGGGAAAAAGGCAGCATTTAAGGCTCCCAAAAACTGAATAATCAATGCTACGAATCTGGACAGAAATCAGTCCAGAAACAGTCCAAAAAACAGCCAGCAGTTATCACAAAACAACTCCCAAAAATTAGTACAGGAACCGGGTTGGAGAAGTCACGGGAACACAGCCAGAGAGGGACCCGAAAAGCTAACACAGAAATCGGGAAGGAGAAACCAAGGGAAAGCAGCCAGGGGGAGAACCGAACAGGCAACCAGCACCCAGCATAATTTCAAGGGAACAACACAAGGAAGAAACCAAGAAGGTCCCAAGATTTCAGCTAAAAAACAGTGCTGTCAAAGCCCAATCCGAGAGCAGCCAAGGCCCAAACCAAGAGGTAGCAAACAGCCCAAAGATTGCCTACATCAACTATTGTTTTGTTTTCTTGAAACAGTTGCTTTGAAATAGATAAAGTAGTCAAAATAGCTTATTATGCGACTAAAAAAAGGAGAAATGAATATAAGCTGAATGATTACAGCAATTAATGTAGCCAGATCTTTTAGATGTTATTTAATACAATCATCAGCATATTAAAGCAAAAAGAATATAACACAGTTGTAAATTCAAGTCCTCACCTCCAACATTGATGCCAGCATTAGTAGCAGTCTCCCAAAGAGCAGGGGCACCATCACCACCACTAATTGCACGTATGAGTCTGGGGACAGTAAAAAACATCGAAATTCCAGCAGCAGCTGAAAGTGCGACATAGAAAAATCTTCTTACACCACGAAATGGTGCTTGAACCTCACTAATAAGCTTGAGATCCCTTCGAAATCCATAACCGATGTCTTCACCTCCAACTCTAGCCTATAAATGATTAAAGTCGTGATAAGTGAAAAAAAAAAAAGAAATCAAGAATTCCATCATGCGAGTGACATTACATTATTCACACACACACACAAAAATTAGATGCCACAATCACTATTGACTATACCAACCTCTTCCTGCAATTCCCTAAACTCGGGCAAAGCTCTGAATGAAGCTAAGTCGGGATCATTGAGAATAGTACTGAACTTGAGATTATAATCTCTCAAAGCAGTTCGCAAACAATCTGCAGCTTTCTTCCCTTCACCCCTACAATGGATTGAGCAAAAGTACAAGAATTTGATCGTGCGTAATAGTTTCAAACTGAAAAACCATAAACTGTTGCAGGAATTCCTGATTAACAAACCAAAAAAAAAAAAACCAACCATGTTTTAAATCGACATCAACTCCTCATTACATTGCATTAGACCATGGAACGGCCGATCACCAAGAAAAGATTAATAAAATATACATTGTTAAACCTGATTGAAAACTCAAGAGTGTGTTTCTCCCAAGGTATTCAAAATGACTGTCAAACTCTATTATAAGCAAGTTTACAGATTGAAATTTAAGGAAGAATTTATAATGTTGGTTCTACGAAATGAATGGAAGGCCAAAGAGAGAAAAAAAAAAGACAAATATCTTAAGGAAGAGGAGCTGCAGAAACTTTCTACTTTTGATAGTGAAATTGTGGTCCCCAGAACTTTCTACATTCAAATTAGAAAATCAAATCAAGAACCAGCTACATTAGATTAACCCGTCCATTGGATTCATTAGATCAAATTATTTTCTTCTTGTGGACAAACTCAAGGAAACATAGCAGGCTAACTGGGTCTCATGAATGCACACAGAGCTACATTGTATAAGCATATTAACAATAGCGACCAGGTTAACTAACGTGTATTAGAGAAATATTGTACCGCATGTATCTTCTATTTATAACTCTGTAAATCTTACATTTGAGATCTAATAATACAATTCTCTCCTCATTTCATGTTCTTCATTTTCTTGCTTCATCTTCTCTGCCCGGCTGGGTTCACAACATGGTATCAGAGCAGGCCATGACCGATCAAAGCTCGTCGGCGCGTCAAGCACCCACCACCGCTCCTTCTTCGTTCACGGACTTCACCGTGCCGGCCCCCCTGAAATTCTTGATATCAAATCTCAAGAACTTAGTGCCGACACAACTCACCGCTGATAACTACACCATTTGGCGGCTGCAACTTCTTCAACACTTCACCGCAAATGGATTCGCCGGACATCTCACCGGATCTTCCATTTGTCCCACCGATCCAACCGATCCAAATTTCTCAGGATGGAACCTCATAGACAAAAATCTGATCTCCGCCCTTCTTTCTATTATTTCACCATCTATCTTAACTTACGTGATCTCGTCTTCTACTGCTCACGAGGCTTGGATCACCCTGGAAAAGGGTCTTCAATCAGCAAGCCGTTCAAGAGTCATCCAGCTCAAGAACGAGCTTCACCACGTACAAATGAAGGAAAGCACTATGCAGCAATATCTTGCAAAGATTAAATCCATTGTGGATACAATCGCAGCCTCAGGATCAAATGTAGATCAAGAAGACATCATACTGTACATATTAAACGGGCTACCGTCCGCATACAACTCCTTTAAAACCTCAATTCGGACGTCTCTTCTTCCCATCGACCTCGACACCCTGTATTCGCTCCTATGCAGCGAAGAAGTTCACGTTCAACGCGAAACAAGCAAGGAAAGCAACACCACGACCGACTCGGTGGCCTGTTACTCAAATGCTGCTTCTACCAAGATCCGAAACAACAAGAAATATTTCAAGAACAAGAATGCGGCCTCAACTCCCTCTTCGTTCACTACCGTCAACACCAGTCAATCAGGGAGTTCAAACAACCGACCCATTTGCCAAATCTGTGGCAAACCCGGTCATGTGGCCATAAATTGTTGGCATAGGTGTAATCTCAATTACGCTCCTACTACATCCCGCCAGTCGAGAGCCCTGCTTGCTCAACCTTCATCCACTTCAAATCAAGATTGGGTTCTTGACTCGGGAGCGTCATCTCATCTCACACCGGATGTCTCCAACATCAACTACCCTTCTTCTTACCGAGGATCGGATGTCGTGTCCATAGCAAACGGGTCTTCCCTTCCGATCCACAATACAGGACAAGGCATCCTTCCTCTACCGGACACCGATCGTAAGCTACGCTTGAGTAATTTACTTCATGTTCCCTCCCTCAAACACAATCTCTTATCTGTTTCCAAGCTAACTACAGATAATTCTATTCGTATCTGCTTTGATGCTAACGGGTTTACCATTAAGGACTTGCAGGATCATCGTTCTCTCCTTCATGGGCGTCTCCGTAACGGTTTATATCAGCTACAGCTAACACCGAACGAGCCCATCTCCGCACTGCAGACAACAAAATCTACGTTCAACCCGTGGCATGCCCGCTTAGGACATCCCCATAACCACGCCATTTCCATTTTAGCAAAATCTGTTGATACAATAAAAGCTGTACCATCTCCTATTGTTTGCAAAGTTTGTAGCATGGCTAAAAGCCATAAACTCGCATTCAGTAATAGCAAAACAGCTTCGTCTGCCCCATTTCAATTAATCCACTCGGATGTTTGGGGTCCAGCTCCTCAAGAATCTTTAGACGATTTCAAATATTACGTTCTTTTTATCGATGATTACACGCGTTTTTGTTGGATTTATCCTCTGTTTTATAAGCATGAAACACTAACTAAATTCAAGAATTTTTGCAATCTTATTTCGAATCAATTTAATACTAAACCGAAACTCCTCCGTTCGGACGGAGGAGGTGAATTTACAAGTACTGATTTTAAAACCTTTTTAGCTCAACAGGGGATTATTCATCAGATCAGCTGCCCTCATACACCCGAGCAGAACGGCGTAGCCGAACGTAAGCATCGGCACCTTCTCGAGATCACTAGAACGCTTCTCCTAACCGCCTCGCTACCGCAAAGATTTTGGGATGAATCCCTTTTCACTGCTAATTATCTCATAAACCGGATCCCCTCCAAAACTCTCTCCTATCAAACACCTTATCACAAGCTTCACGGCACTGTCCCCTCCTACGCTCATCTCCGCATCTTCGGGTGCCTTTGTTTCCCGTGGCTCAAGCCATATACCGCAAACAAGCTATCTCCAAGATCCGACGAATGTACATTCTTGGTTTATTCTTCCGCCCATAAGGGATACAAATGCTATAACATGTCCACGGGCAAGATATTCATTTCAAGACACGTCGTGTTTCACGAACAAATATTTCCATATGCTTCGGATTCATCTGGTAACCTCCCACCCAATTCTCCAGACACTTGTCCCACACCGCCTCTTCTCCTTATCCCTCACTCTACCATCAATCAAAATCGGCAACTACATATTACATCAACCCACTCGCCCAGCACTACAACAGCTCAACCCACTACAATCATCCATCCCACCCCATCTCTTACCAACTCCTCAGACACTGCCCACTCAATTCATCAGCAAGCTCCCCACCCGGAACCGGTAATCACCTCAGCCCCGTCTCACCCTATGATCACCAGACTAAAATCCGGCATCACAAAACCCAGGCAACTCCTTAATCTCTTTGCCACCGAGACAAATCCTACACCACTTAATTTTTCCCAAGCAGCCAAACATCAACACTGGCGGTCAGCTATGTCCGCAGAATTTCTCGCTCTACAACAGCAAGGAACCTGGTCACTAGTTCCTCCACCGGACAACAAACCGGTTCTCGGTTCAAAATGGACATACAAAATTAAAACTCTTCCGTCTGGTAAAATTGACAAATATAAAGCGCGGTTAGTTGCACAAGGCTTCTCTCAACAATTTGGAATCAACTATAACGAAACCTTTAGCCCAGTAGCCAAAGTTCCCACCATTCGCATACTACTAACACTGGCTCTACATCGCAACTGGCGGATCAACCAATTGGACGTCTCCAATGCATTTTTGCACGGCGAACTATCCGAAGATGTCTATATGAGACAACCAGTCGGTTTCGTGGATCCTCTACTACCCAACCATGTATGCAAGTTGCACAAATCTATTTACGGACTCAAACAATCTCCGCGCCAATGGTTCAAGAAACTCACAACATTCCTCCTCCAATTCGGCTTCAGGTTTAGTCGCTCCGATCCTTCCTTACTGCTTTATACACACAAACAGATTCATCTTTACTTCCTAATCTATGTGGATGATATCCTACTAACAGGTAATGACAATCCAACAATGCAAAGACTACTCGATCATCTGAATGCAACCTTCCAAATAAAGCAGATGCAGGACGTATCCTTATACCTCGGCATTCAGATCACTCACTCCAGCGATTGCATTCTCCTTCAGCAATCTCATTATGCCACCAAGATTCTGGAGAAAGCAGGATTCTCCACTTGCACACCGGCGGCGACACCAATAACATCCAAATCCACTCAGACAGATTTCAACACACAACCATACTCGGACCCGCAGCTTTACCACACCATAGCCGGCTCATTACAGTATCTTTCTATTACACGCCCCGACATCGCTTTCGCCGTCAACTCCATCTGCCAACATATGCACAATCCTACGGTTCGGGACTTTCAAGCCTTAAAACGACTACTCAGATACATTAAAGGCACTCTACCGCTCGGTATAAGGATCACTCGGGGCGACCTCCAGCTACGCACATTCGTCGATGCCGACTGGGCAGCGGATTCCATGGATCGCAAGTCCATTACCGGACACTGCACGTTCCTCGGTTCAACAATCATATCCTGGTGTTCAAAGAAGCAAACAACAGTCGCTAAATCTTCCACTGAGGCGGAGTATCGGGCGCTATCTACAGCAGTATCCGAAGTTATATGGCTTCGTCGTCTCGCAGCAGAACTCCAGATACCGCAGACATCGCCGACCGTTATCCATTGCGACAACACCTCGGCAATAGCTTTGGCTCATAATCCCGTATTCCACGCGAGAACCAAGCACATCGAGATCGATCATCACTTCATTCGGGATCATCTAGACTCTGGACAGATCTCGGTCATCCATCTAAGCTCAATCGACCAAATCGCCGACATCTTTACCAAATCTCTCACGACAACTAGATTCATTTCTCTTCGCAACAAATTGAACATTCAATCCTCGAATGATCAATTTGAGGGGAGATATAAGCATATTAACAGTAGCGACCAGGTTAACTAACGTGTATTAGAGAAATATTGTACCGCATGTATCTTCTATTTATAACTCTGTAAA